CGCCTCGTTCGATTTGCATTGAAAATATCGCAAAACAGCAGCAACAACAAAATATGAATTATCATAGTAAACAGTAAAACGTAAACAGCAGTTTTTTTTTGGGATTTTTTGGGCTTTTTTTTAATATTTTTTTCCTGTGTTTTCCGTGAACGTCAACATAAAAAATGCAGCAACGGCAGCGTCAGCGTCTCATTTGCAATGCGCCGCACGTTAAGGGCAACAGCAACGGCAACAACAACAGCAGCAACAACAGCAACAATTGAATGAAACCAAAACAAAACAAAACATATGTATGTACATATATATGTACATATATTTATGTAAATAAATAAATAAATAAATGCATAAAAGTAACAGCTTTTGTGAATCGCACGAGCGTTGCGAGTGCTTGTTGAATGGAAAGTCCATAAAAATGTTGCTGCTGCTGCTGTTAGTGTTGCCGTAGCTGTTGCTGTTGCTGTTGCTGTTGCTGTTCATGTTGCTGTTGCTGTTGGACGAGAGAATGGCCATAGAACTATTGGCATTATAGTGCCAGCAACTTTCGCTTTCTCTCTCTCTCGCTCTCACTCACTCGCATTGCCAATGTCTGTCCGTCTGTTTTGTCCAGCCACAGCAGCTGTTAAGGCTTCATTTAAATGCGCATTAAGTTGCATTTACGAGTTAAACAAATGCAGAAACAAAAGCAGAGCAGAGCGAGTTTCGTTCAGTCTCAAATTTATGCGTTGCAGCTGTCAATGTGGAGCATTAGCATTTGCATACCAGCGAGAAGGGGGCGGTGGAATGTCTGTTTAGGGCGTGGCCAGTTTTTAAATAATTGTACAAACATTTCTGCAATAGCAGCAGCAGCAGCAACAACAGCTAGCAATGTGATAAATCAATCAAAAAATAAACAAAAAACAATATCGGGGGAAGGAAAAGAAAAGATCAGAGAGGCAGAAAATGGTCTTATCGACTTTGCACATAAGCTTGGATAACGATGTTGCTGGCGAGCAGCAACAGCAACAGCCACCGACGACAGCAGCTGCAATCGTTTCTAACAGATTGAATGTGCTGTGCAACAACAACAACAACAACAACAACAGCAATAATAATAATCAACTTATGAACAACAACAACAACAAAGAGTCGCCACAAATTTTATTTGAAAAGGAAAATGAGCAGCAAGGCTTCAATTTGATTAGCATGACTAATAATAATAATAAATATTGTGATATGAACGGCAATGCAACGAACAACGAACAACTCTGGCAGCAGCAACAACAGCAGCAGCAGCATCAAGGATCTTCATCCGCCAGCAATACGCCGTATCGCAGCGGCTCAGCTCTGCGACGTGGCACACAAATTCAGCGCTCTTCGATGCGTTTGCGACAACAACAGGCAAGTGTGGCAAGGCGCAACAACAGCAACAGTTGCTGCCGCCGTCGCTGTGTTTCCCTTTAAATGGCAGCAACCTTCGGCTGCTATCGCCAGCTGGCTTTATCTACATACATATGTATGTATATGTATAAGTATATATGCACATATATATGCTAACTAACAAACGGCAACCAGTTAAAAGCAAACTAGGCTAACTGGCTGACGCAGTTGCTCGACAACAACAACAACAACAACCACAGCAGAAACAGCAGCAGCAGCAGCTACAGCAACAGCAACAGCAACAACAGCTTTGCAGTCTTAGCCTGAAGATTTCTTTGATACTCTACACTGTCAGACTTTAATACTCTACAAAGAGTCAATTGATTTATGGTTATCATGACGATTATATTAATAATAGCAATTCACATTAGCCCCTCCTGATTTTCATTCAATTAACAGCATTTTCTAAGCCAAAGAACAAACAAAAGTTAGTTTTTTTTTTTCACTTTTCATGGCTCGTTCAGTTAGGCCGCATTTCCCCAAAGTTTGAGCTGAAAATTTGCAAATTATTTGCACAAAATCTCTATCGAGATAGCAAATTTCGAAACGAACAAATATTTGCCACTGAAATATTTTATACAAACTCCAGGCGATGCTCCAAATTTGTCGCTTAATAAAGAATCCATAGCTGCTTTATTTTGAAATTTCGCATAGAGCTAAATGGGGTCTCTGATAACATTAACATAGCTTTAAAAAGCCTAAGGAATAGGAAGTTGTATGGACTTCATCCTGTCCGTCGTAGTCAAGCAGTCTCGAGTAGAGCTTTCAGTATTTCTTTTTTATTCAATTGAAAGATACGAAAATTAAAATTCTTTTGAATTGTCCTTATCTGAGATTAGAGATATGGATGATAAGAAAAGAGTTTCTCTTTTTTTTTAGAGCAATAATAATGAAGTGTACTATATTGAATTTCAAGTATATATAGATAAAGATATAGCCCCAAAATAATCAAAGGTCTACCAATGCATTGGTAAGCAAAAGACATTTTACCTTATGCGCATTGATAGGAATTGCGAAGAAAACATTTACATTCCAATTGATGTCACAAACTCACTAATGTAACCAATATTCCCAGCATAAACAAGTTAATGAGCATAACAATAAAAACAAACACAGCGAATAGGCAAGTTAATAAATTTTTAATTTTTGTGTTACGCCGATTTGCAATATTTACTGTGTGCCCGACGACGAAAATGTTAATGATGATGATGATGATGATGATGACGATGATAATGAGGTTGACATCGACAATAATGATGATGATGTCATGGTCTATACATTCACAGCAACAACAACCAGAAGTAGAACTAGCATTGAGTTGTTGCTGGTTTCTATACCCTGTAAACGGTTGCGCAGAGCGGGTATATTACCTCAACTCCACGCACTATACACAGAGTTTACTTTGGCTAACCGTTTTGCAAGGAAGTGGATTACCCAATTCTATGCTAAAGTAAGAACAGTTAAAGCTAAGGCAAAAGAAAATTCAACTGAATTTTGTTGATGTTGGCAATGTCGTCAGCTCGCCAGGGTAGCGCTCAGTCGAGCAATGCCGGCAGGCTTACATTTACTTGTTTTACAATTGTTGTCACTTCTGTTGTTTTTGTTGTTGTTGTTGTTGTTGCTGTTGTTGTCGGATGATTGATGAGCCGCAGCTTTAGCGCGTCTTTCTTTTGTTGATCTGCGCGCTTAGTGGAAGATCAAAAAGGGTGCCACTACCCACGGCCCACGCTCCCCGCCCCTTGCTCCCCCCTCCTGGCCCCTGCCCCCTGCCCCATCCCCAAAATGGCCCCTCCCCCTGGCTTCTTTTAAATTGAATTTCATCAAACTGCGCATCTCAATTTGCGATCGATAGCCGCGTGTGGGCAGCAATACCCTCGAACGGCATGGCACATAGGGTATGCACGCTGCCGCGCTTTCCCGTTCTTTCCGACTTTCAATATCAATTCTTGTTTTGCTTTTATTTAGGTTTCTTGTTCAATGTCAAACGCGTTTTGTTTTATTTTTTGTAACTTTTGTCGTTTTCTATAGTCACGCTAACAGACTGAACTGCCCGTCAAGCCCGAGCCCGCCTCCCGCTTCCAGCCTCTGTCTGCACTGTGTGGACTGTCTGTATTATATTTGCTGATGTCGCTTCTTCTTTCTCCTCTTCTTGCACGCCCCTCTTTGCGCTTCTCATGCGCTGCGCCAAGTTCACATTATGCAAGTTCAGCGAATTCGATTCTCGCTTATGTTGCTCTCCCGCTCTCTCTCTTTCTCTGTCTCTCTTTCTCTTTAGTTTGGTTTGCGTGCCTTTTGAACGTCGCGACGTCTTTTGTTGTTATTCAATTAAGTTTTTTCCTTTTGTTTCAATTTTCTTCTTCTTGAAGACAAATGTGTGAGAAAATTGGCAGCAAGGTCCCAGCTGAGATTTTGGTCAGATTTATTATCTCGCTCCCCACCTCCCACTCTCTCTATCTCTCTCATTTGGCAAAGTCTTGAGGCGGAACCCAAAATCTCAACTTGGACACGCGTTTGCTTGCGACTTTGTGTTTGTTTCTTATCGATAGAGTTCACTTCCCCAGCTCTTCACACAAATCTGATATCATTGTATAATAAATACTTGCATATATTTCCACCTGTTCAGCTAGCAAGTATATGTATGGTATCTACATGATTATGTTATGTTATTATAATTTTACAAATCTAACACTTAGACTGTCCAATGACTCACAACTTTTGAAGATTTAAGTATATTTCTTAGTTAGTTATACAAAACTGTTTGTTTAACAAAGACTTAATCTAAGCATATACAACAGCACCTAAAGAAATGTACATATACCCTGAAATAGACGAGAAGCTGGGAATATAATTTACTAAGTATGCCTATAAATAGACTATAAATATAATTTCGTATATCTCTATAAAGATAAGAATCGAAATCTCAAATTATCAACAGATGTTCAGCCGTCTCTATCTCTCTCTCTCTCTCTCTCTCTCTCGCTCTCACTGACAATAGCTCTCTAAACTGAAGTTTTTCTTATCATGTTTAACTGTCAACGGTAGGTTTGACAAGAACTGTGGCATTTTCACTCGACAGTTTGACATGCATTGTTAGGGATAGAGTCGTATTGTTTGACCATTGACCTAATGCGAGCCGAGCACTTGCGGCGCTTCTTTGAGCATTTGCCACTGCCTCACGCATTGCGCCCTCCATCCGACATCCACGCCTCCCATCCGACCCCGCCCCCTTATGGCTAACCCCTTCCTTTTAGCGCTCTTGTGGTCGATGGGTTTTTGGGGCATTCGTGGAATGTCACGAAGAGCTTGTGGCAGGTGGCAAGAATTTGATGCATGCATGCATGGCATCTTACAGGGTATGCCCGCAGTCGATACATTTTGCGTCTTTTTCTCCATCTCATCGCTCTTTACAAAGACTGCTAATTCAATTAGCATAAAGCTGGTGCGCGAAAGTGGATTAGGTGCGCCAGCTGAAGCCTCAAAGTTCAACTGACTACAAAGAAACCCTTTCTCTCCCCTGCCCCCAGCCTGCCGCGCTCTATCTCTGTCTCTCTCTCACATGCATTTCTTCACTCTGTTTCTTGTAGGAGCAATTGCGACGTCGACGCGAGGAGGAGGAGCGCATCGCCCAGCAGAATGAGTTTCTACGCAACAGCTTGCGTGGCTCACGCAAGCTCAAGGCGCTTCAGGATACGGCCACAGCCACGCCCACGGCCGGGAAGGCGCTCGCGCAGCAGCAGCACGCGACTGCAGCAGCGGCAACAATTGCTGGCGTCGAGAACGAGGCATATCTGCCGGATGAGGACCTAATGCCAGCGCAACACATCGATGGTAAGTGCCAAAGGCTGCATGGAACAGCAAGGATAAAGGCCAACGAGCAGCTGTCAGACTTTATTCTGTTGTCAAAGGATGCACTTATAGCAGGGTCGCCAGACGAGAGTGTGTGCATACTGTCTAACGAAAACTTGCGATATTGTGTTCAGATATCCCAGAAGCAATTCAATTCGGATTTTTCCAACAGCAAGTCAGATTGGTTGACAAATTTCGACTTCGCTTCGCTGAAGCCAGATTTATATACCCTATAATCAACATCGATTCGACCGATGAACTATAGACTAGATATCTGATATGCCCAGACAATCTACATATCTGAAATGAGCTATAACTATAATCTGGAGCTGTAGTATTAATCTGGAGTAACACATATATTGTTGATATAGCCAGAGATTAGGGAGCCAATTCGTTTCTAGAGTCATATACTAAACGTATATTCTTTCGGACACATCCAAACCAATCCAATATATACATATATCTAGGGAAGACTGAATGAGTTTTAAAAGAAGCTTTCAAATATGGAAATTGCATGAAAAACACATACAGTGGACCCTCGGTGAACGAGCGCACTTCGTTCCAGCATCATCGATAAGCGAAATGTTTGGTAACCGAAACAGAAAACTTTACACCTACACACATAACTTGGAAAATGTCAAGGATAGTACTATAGTAATATATTTGGGGTTTTCTTAGATGTCAAGTTGAGCGAAACTTATTTTCCCAAACAAATGTGCTCATTTGTTAACCGAGGGTCCACTGTATTTGAGAATGCTAGCGCACCTTAGAATTCAAAATGAAACTTATTTCTGGTCATATGTGGACTTGGGCTGCATTTGGAAAATAATCCATTCATAGCACTCTGAGCATATACAGTTATAGTCACACATGACAATTGACAATTGAAAAACTAATTCAGATTCAAGATATACATAGATAGATAAATTGTATACATTGTTGAAGAAGAAGGCCATATTAAAAAAGCGAGAGACTATAGAGACTATGCTACTGGCACTGGGATGAACTTATCTAATCAGGCGCAATTCTGTTTGCAGGCTACGGGGAGCTGATCGCGGCACTGACGCGTCTGCAGAGCCAGCTGGCCAAGAGCGGCCTGAGCAACCTGGCGGGCCGCGTGTCGGCGGCGCATAATGTCCTGGCCACCGCCAGTGTGGCCCATGTGCTGGCCGCCAGGAGCGCGGTGCTGCAGCGCAGGCGGCCGCGGGTGGCCGGGCCGGTGCACTCCGGGGCGCTGGGCTTGCAGAAGGAGATTGTGGAGCTGCTGACGCAGTCGAATACGGCGTCGGCCATTGAGCTGGGCAATCTGCTGACCAGCCACGAGATGGAGGGCCTGCTGCTGGCGCACGATCGCATTGCCAGCCATACGGATGCGTCGCCCTCGCCCATGCCGACGCCGACGCCGACGCCCTCACAGACGCCCACGGCGACGGCCACCACGCTGAGCGGCCACAGCAGTCCCGTGGCTGGAGCCAAGGCAGCGGGAACGGCCGCAGCGAGCAGCAGAACGGCTGTGGCGGTGCTGCCGCCAGTGGTGCCGCCAGTGGCCAGCTCGGTGGCGCAGCGCGGAGCCATGCCGCTGCCTGTGGCGGTGGGCGTGCGCGGCGAGTCGCCCCCCGGCATGAGCGCCTGCTTTGGCACGCTGAACGACCAGAACGACAACATACGCATCATACAGATCGAGAAGTCCACCGAGCCGCTGGGCGCGACGGTGCGCAACGAGGGCGAGGCGGTGGTCATCGGCCGCATCGTGCGCGGCGGCGCCGCCGAGAAGTCCGGCCTGCTGCACGAGGGTGACGAGATACTGGAGGTGAATGGCCAAGAGCTGCGGGGCAAGACAGTGAATGAGGTGTGCGCCCTGTTGGGCGCCATGCAGGGCACGCTCACGTTCTTGATTGTGCCCGCCGGCAGTCCGCCGCCCGGTGGCGGCCTCTGCAGCGGCCTGGGCATGCATCACGTGGGCGGGATGGCGCATCGTGATACGGCCGTGCTGCACGTGCGTGCGCACTTCGACTATGATCCGGAGGATGATCTGTACATACCGTGCCGGGAGCTGGGCATCAGCTTCCAGAAGGGCGATGTGCTGCATGTGATATCCCGCGAGGATCCCAACTGGTGGCAGGCGTACCGCGAGGGCGAGGAAGATCAAACGCTGGCCGGCCTCATTCCTAGTCAGTCCTTCCAGCATCAGCGCGAGACCATGAAGCTAGCCATTGCCGAGGAGGCGGGCCTGGCGCGCTCCCGCGGCAAGGAGGGGGCCACCAGCAAGGGCGCAACTCTTCTGTGCGCTCGCAAGGGCCGCAAGAAGAAGAAGAAGGCCAGCTCCGAGGCAGGGTAAGTCGACAAGCCGGCTAAACCTATTGGTAAAACGCCCCTAATCGAACTCTTATGCCATCGCAGCTATCCGCTGTATGCGACGACAGCGCCCGACGAAACAGACCCCGAGGAGATACTCACCTACGAGGAGGTTGCGCTCTACTACCCCCGTGCCACTCACAAGCGCCCCATTGTCCTTATCGGGCCACCCAACATTGGCCGGCACGAGCTTCGCCAGCGCCTGATGGCCGACTCCGAGCGATTCTCGGCTGCAGTGCCACGTAAGTAGAGGATTGGTCCCTGATGGGCTTCGCATTATCCCTCTTTCCCCCTATCTGCCTCTCTCTCAATCTCAATCTCAATCTCTGCCTGTCTTAATTACTCTTACTCTGCTTCGCAGTTTTCTATTTGCTTGAGGAGAAACTTAAACCAGCAGCCAAGGGTAAAGCAGTAAAGCAACTGATTCCCAGCGCATTGCTAGCATTACCCGAGCACTGAGTTAAGCACATCAGCAACACAGTGGATCTGTCGAAAGACTGATTGTACAAGTCCCATAGGATCTAGTTCCCAGTCCAGTGCTGCGGATGCGTCTTTGCTCAGTGCTGGCTTATTTACACCCAACTCCCTCAGTACTCCTGCTCTACCGACCCTTGATATCGATATTTATTTCAATATCCTCTCTTCCACATGCGCAGACACATCCCGTGCCCGGCGCGAGGGCGAGGTTCCCGGCGTGGATTATCATTTCATCACGCGACAAGCCTTCGAAGCAGACATTCTGGCGCGTCGTTTCGTGGAGCATGGCGAATACGAGAAGGCCTACTATGGTAAATATGCCACGCCCACCATTTGGTATGGATGCATTCATTACATCTCCCCCATTGCAGGCACATCACTGGAGGCCATTCGCACAGTCGTTGCCAGTGGAAAGATTTGTGTGCTGAACTTGCATCCGCAGAGTCTGAAGCTGCTACGTGCCTCCGACCTGAAGCCCTATGTGGTGCTGGTGGCACCGCCCAGCCTCGACAAGCTGCGGCAGAAGAAGCTGCGCAACGGCGAGCCGTTCAAGGTACGATATGTTGTTATCGTTATCGTTGATTTCGATCAACTTCATAGAGCTGACGGATAATTCGAAATCGATCAAATACATTATCTAAATCATTGCTATTACTTTTTGGCAGGAGGAGGAGCTGAAGGACATCATTGCCACCGCACGAGACATGGAAGCGCGCTGGGGTCACCTCTTCGACATGATCATTATCAACAACGACACGGAGCGAGCTTATCACCAGCTGCTGGCGGAGATCAATTCGCTGGAGCGCGAGCCTCAATGGGTGCCCGCCCAGTGGGTGCACAACAATCGCGACGAATCATAATATCCTCATCGGCGACTGCTGCCCCAGCTCCAGATCCAGCCACAACCTTAGCGCCAGTCAGTGTTTGCTTTGTACATACTTTTCAATTCAGCCATGTGAATGTGAAGCAGCTGCCGAGACAGCAAATCAGCAAATCCGCGGATTGGCGGGTCAGTGGGCCAAGTCATCCCTTCGCTATGTGTATTATCGGGCGTAGAGTATCTGCACGTACACATAGAGCTATATATCTATATAATGAGCCCATTTAACTACTTTTTACTTTTGTACTTAACCCGCTCCCACATATGTATGTGTATATTTTTTGTAGCAAATACATTTGAAGCATTGCAAAACGAAAATGAAAATATTTTCGAGCATTCCAATTTTCAAATATACCTTTATACATACATATACATATATATATATATTTTTATTATTATTATTATTATTATTATTATTTTATTTTTTTTTTTTTTTATTTAACTTTATGTATGATCACAAAAATTGTTATTCAATTTTAACACTAAAAACCCCGATATTTTATGTATTTTTTCTTATGTATTTTCAATTATAAGAATTATTTGTTGAGCACTTCCTTAATTTCAAGGGCAAATTGAAATTGTAAAAAAGCGAAATATAAGAGTTTCAGTTGTTGTAACACGGCCAGTCTGTACTCTAGTTCGAATTCAATATCGAGTTCCAGCTCCAACTCAAAATATTCATTCATATGTTAAGATAACAGAACGAGAGCAAATATCCTTGCTACGTGCAGGAAAGGGAGAGAACGAGAGGTAAAGAATGGAAGTGCAAAGGGCAGAAGCAAGCAAATGTTACAATTACGTAATCTATTTACTTTATTTAAATATATACATACATATACTTGTGTATGTATACATAAAAATATATACATAAATTATATTCAAAAACAAAAACAATTAATTTTTAATGACAAGCTGCGAAGAGCAGCAAATGAAGCGAGCGATAGAAAGAGATAGTTATAGATAACAATAGCAACAACAACAAAGAATGGAATCAGAACGTCATTGCCAAATAAAACAAATGAAAAACAAATAAAATAAATATAACAAATACCAAGTATGAATATTAAAACAAAACAGAAATCATTCCGGCAGCAAGGCTAAAAAAATAGTATGAAATACATAATGAAATAGCAACCTATCTAGGCACTGTAAAAATGAATTATAAATAAAAATTAACAAACAAATAAAGAATATAAACAATTGAAGAAACAACTAGGCATTAAGCTAAGCGAAACGCAGAATGAAAGAAATAGAAAACAAAAAACCCAAAAAAAGAAAAGATACAAATAAAATAAATGTTGTAATTGCAAAAATAAAAAACAAATGAAAGAAAAGATTACGAAGCAAAACTAAAGGTCTAAATCGAATCAGTTGCAGAATTTTAGACATGGATATATATATATATATATATATATATATA